AGAGAGGAAGAGAGAGATAGAAACATCAATAAGAGAGAACATTGATCGGCCACCTTTTACATGCCCCCCACTGGGGATTTGGCCCACAACCTGGGCATGTGCCCTGACCGGGAATTGAACCAGTGACCTCCCGGTGCGTGGGTCAATGCTCAACCAATGAGCCACACTGGTCGGGCTACTATAGGTACTCTTAGCACTATCAAACATAGTAGTAAAAGCTTAAGAACATTTTGTTTTAAACATCAGGCAGTAATCTGGGGTATTCTCCTTTCCATTCCTCACTATGGGATGGAAATAATCTTGCATTATAACATCACCTTCCAGGGCATCATGTTTCAGACATTGCATTGGAAATCCACAGACAGTATGAAGAATCTCAGGCAATAACAGGGACTTTAAATGGGAGGAAAGAAGACTATTTGTTTCTTATATTTTTTACTTCATTTTTAAACTGCTATTTTGGATCCAAAAGACATAGGGAGAATAGAATATTTATCTTTTCAATTGTCATAAAACACATTCAGTTCCAATAAAACATTAAAAAGTTGAGCTTTTAATCATAATATAAGATTTTTTATAACTTCCAAATTATAGTTGTTGCTGTAATATAATTGATAGAAACACATCAAACACTGACCATTTTTTTTTGCATTAATTGAATTACATTCATTCTAATCTTTGGCTTGTTGAGGGTTTTATGCTCTGCATGGGAATGAGCAGCGACAGGGCTGGTTTTCTGAAATTTCTTTCCATCCCCCCCCCCTTTTTTTTTTTTTTTTCAGTTCTGCCTCTAGATGCTGCAGTAGATCAAAGCTTTTCAAAAGCAGCAACATGCTCATTGTCTTTCGAGTCATGGTATGATAGAGAGTGACGAAGAGGAACAAGAATGTTTGGATCAGCCACAATAGTATCTATTATGCATCCATCATAGAGGAACGAGCTGAATTGTGCAGAATTGATATGTGCCTATTGTCGAAGCCTTTTCTGTAACATCAGATAGAAGTAATCATTCCGAAGCAGGCTTTCCTGGGAAAGATATCTTTTCTCTTTCGGACGTGCATTTTTAGTGTGGTAGGTGGTTCTACAGTTAATGTAAGGCACATGAAATGAGTAATTCAATTTCAAAGAATTGCTTTTAATTACTGTGGCAATAGTAAATGATCCAGCATTGAAATATATAATACCAAGCACTGAGCTGGCGGTCCTTTGAATTAGAAATTGTTTATTTTCATATTTATATCTGGCAAGCCCCTTAAGTATGGAGAAATGCAAATGAGTCAGGGAACTGCAAATGGGTATCTGTCAAATAGGTGTCCATTAAGAGCAAAATGTATAGTGCTCTTGAGAACCTTCAAATTCATTTTCAGAAATCATAAAAATCCTACTTAGCACATGCATAATTTGTCTGGTCCCCATACTCTGAGCACTGGCTACTTTGCACTGTTTTTGTCCACTAACATTTATAATTTTAAATGAAAATATTAAATATTTTATTCTATTAAATGTTATAATACAACATCTCTGATTATGGTGTACTTCATCAAATATCCTCAGAAAGCAAATTTCCAAGGTCTTTTTCCAATAAACATTTTCCAGGGGATTTGTTTTGTAGAAAGATGTATACAAATTTATTAAAAACTGGGGCAATTTTTGTAGCTTTATAGGCACTACAACAACATACTTTTTTCTAATAGGCACATTTTTAATGTAAAGCAACCAACTTTAGATTAAAGAGAAAGAAAATATCTTGTGAGAAATTGCTCTGAAACTTCTCCATACAGCCTTATTTTTCACCTGTAGGGAAAAGATCTGTCTCTAGACTGTCCCAGGGGGTCTATCTTGAGCAGCGGAGCACCTTAAACCCAAGCACTGTGTAGACATAGAGGAGGTGACCTAAGAAACTTACCACCAGGAGCACTTCCTGTCTTGGCTCACCTGGGCAGGTATGGAGAGGTGTCTTCTCTTCATGTGGCCATGGTAAAGCTGTCTTAACCCAGTTTGGATAGACTGAAGAGAAGGTATCAGAAGAAAAGATTGAGGCCACAATCTCAAGATTTGACCAAAACCAGAATGATGTGATCTTTCTCCCTCCCTCTGGATCTATCATCTACCTATCGCTCTAATTATTTACCAACCTACACATACATCTATATACACACATCTGCATCTACACCTATACCTATATTTATATCTACATCTGTAGCTATAGCTATATTGTTCTTGTGAGCCCTTGGCTTGTATCAGTAGTTCATTTGCACCCTCGCTGCAAATATCTCTATTGAACTGCACGTTGTCTAGACACAAGGACATGTCCTTTCTCTTCTATAATGTGATACTTGTGTATAGACATAGGATAGAATCATACATGGGCTTGATTGTGCTACTTACCTTCCTAGTTAGAATTAATGTCATTTAAATGAATACATTTCCTGCTACTACACCTGGAAAATCATTACTGATTTGTAGGCACACTGACATAAATTATCATTCTTGATATTAATATGATTATAATGTTGAGTTCTATCAAAAGTCTGCTTTAATTTGGCATTAAATACTTCCATTTCTTGCCATGTGTTGCCATGTGTAGATTAATAATGAATAGTATCGAGACCTTTATTTTACTGTTTTTTTTTTTAAGTTTAATACAGTTCAAAACCTAATATATTTGCATCTGAAACAAAACTAAAGCACTGTAAATTAATATCTGAGGAATAATGTATCTCCAAATTTTCACCACAAAATGTTTATTAGGAAAGTCAAAAGTAAGAGAAATTGTGTTTGTAGAGAACACAATTTGACAAAGTTAAGGGGAATTGTAGTCTACTAAATCAAATATGTAAAAATTTGGCAAATAAATATTTATTGTGATTATTCATGCTTTATTTTAAAAACAGTTTGAATAACTTCACTCAGTGTTAATTAACCTTTTATGAGTTTTTATTTTTAAAAGTTTCTAATGAATGTTGCTTTTATCCATCCTGCTCTAACAGTCTGTTCTCATATCAAAATGTTTTATAAAAATCTAAAAAATGATATTTTTATACTACTTTAATGATTTTTAAGAACTAAATTTTCAATTGATATAATTAAGTTGTAATAATGGACAACATGCAAAATGTATCTGTAAAGAAGATTGAAGGAATTATTAACAACCTGAATGGACAAATTTCCTAATTCATTCTTGGTTTATAATCACAGTTCATTGTCTAAATTAGGACTTCAATTTGACATTCTTTTTCTGTTATATTTTCAGATGATTCTTACTATATCCCCACACCAACTGCTATCTAGGAACTAATAATGTCACAAGAAACCACTGCAGGTCCTATTTCACAACACTGCTAAGGGCTGAAATAATTGTATTCTCCAAAATTCATGTGTTGAAGCCCTAAGCATCATGTGATGGTGTTTGGAAATGGGGCATTTAGAAAGTAATTATGTTTTCTTGAGGTCACGAGGGTGGGGCCTACAGTATGAGATTAATGCCCTTATCAAAAGAAACACCAGAGTCTACTTCCCAGCTGCTTCCCCCCACACAAGGAAGAGGTTAGGTGAGCCCACAGTGAGGTAGCAGCTGCTTCTCCACCAGGAGGAGGGGTCTCAGGGTGAAACTTACATGCCAGCATAGGATCCTGGACTGTCCAGATCCAGACTGTAAGAAATACATTTCTGTTGTTTAAGCCACAGAGCTAAGATATTTTTGTTATGACAGCACCAGCTGACTCAAGCCAGCCCTGGTTCATGCTTCAGTTGGTTTTCTTCGGTTGTTAGAAGCTGACCCTGACCAAATAAGCAAAACAAAAGGATATAATGGAAAGATGCCAGGGAGCTCACAAAATTAAAGAAAAAGAAGAACCACCAGAACATGAGAATGGTTTGAATGGAGAACTGCCTTGCATACTGCAGTAGCAGGAGTAAGCTCGCCATCTTCCTGGGCATTTCCATCCGAAGTCTCAGCATCTACTGCCCTCAGTCCAAACACCTTCCATTCTCATGTCTTTGCTTACGATGCAAATTCCCATCAGAGAGAACAACTTGGTCTGTCTGGGAGTTGGTAACATTTAATCTGGGGTTTTTGAATCAGTTTTTTGAATCAAATGATCTTTTTTGGGGGTGATTTTCATCTTCTAGTTTGGTGAACAACATGGTGTATGTATTATAATTTAAAAAGGAATGCTGGTTGAGGACAGTTTAAAGAGCACAGGAATTTGTCCCGGGGAGATATGAAACCATTGCCTTTGAAATCATCGTGCTTTTTGATTTCTCCATGTTTTCCATCATATCTTGAATCATTTTTTGTAACTGGCATTTCCCTAGAAAATCATTCCTTTTTATTCAGGTTTTCAAATTTCTTAGCATTCAATAACACAGATTATTTTTTACAATGAAGAATTGGATTTTTCTAGTTTTATTGAGATGTAATTGACATATAACATTGTATTAGTTTAAAGTATATAACATAATGACTTGCTATGTATTAAATGCTATATGATTATTCAAATGAAAGCAAGTTTAGGATAATACTTTATCACAATTTTTTCCCAAAATTCAGAAATAAATTTTACTCATAGTTGCATTGATTAGGACTATTATGATTTTTTCCTTTCCTGCTAGTTCGTGTACTAAGACAGTTAACCTTGGTCTCTAAGCTCTATGGTATGTAAATAGCAATTTAAAACTTTTTATTCAGGATATGAAACAGTTTGATTCATTATTTTAAGAAATAACCATGGTAAAATAAAAAAAAAGCCAAGAAACTTAAGTAGAATATTTTATTAAAATATTCACAATATACAACAATGACAAGGTTCTAAATCAGATTCCATGAACACATTCAATATATTCAGCAAGATTATTTATTCTTAAAGGTAATAATTACAGTAGTATTCTGAATCCCCTCTATATTTATTATTGCATAAAATAAGTTTCTATGAGATTCAACAGATTAAAATGTTTTACACACTACACACACTCGATAATACTTGATCTTGATGGTGCTATTAGAGATGATTGGATATGGTATGCAGGCTTCCTGATGTTGTGCCATATAATGGATTAGAGAAGGAGTATACAGAACTCTAAAAAAAAAACACATTGAAAGGTTAGAATTTTAGACAGTAAAATAATAAACATTTTTTCTAGATCATTCAGACGACTGACTTTTTAATGAAATTCCACTGGAATAATAGCTAGAGCATCCCCAATTCTTCCTCTAGTACCCCCAATTCTTCCCCCAGTACCCCCAGTCTACACAGCCTAAGCCTCTGGCATGAGCCGTCTGAGTGTGTGCTGTCTTCCGTGCATCAGAGCCACTGGTTCACCCTGGGATGGGGGCAGTTGTCAGTATCTTGACTACTTCTTTTTTATGTGCTGGTGTCTCCAAGCCTGCTGTATTTCTTATCGTTCGGTTAAAGAAAAGAAAACCCAAAATATAAAAGAAACAACCAACAGCTTTCAGTAGGGAGAGTTATATTTTGCAGAGTATGTTTTAAAATCTAAAATGTAGGACATCCTCTAGGACAAACAACCTGATTGTTTTAAGAAATAAATTTTTTTTTTTTAAATAAAAGGGAAAATGGAACCTAAAGATGAAAAGAAATTTAAGAGACACATCTACCAATTTGGATGCCTATACCTTATATTGATCTTGATTTTTTTTTAAATAGCAACAAAAACAACAAATATAACCCCCCATACTTATTTATGAGACATTGGGATAGCTTGAACACTGAGTATCTGGTGGCATCAAGAAATCGTTGTTAAATGTTTAGCTGAGATACTGTGGCTATGTTTTTCAAAAGTCCTCATATTCCTTAAATGCACAACTGGAGTCTTCACAGGTGAAATTAAATGATATCTGGGATTTCTTTAAAAACACTCTGGTTGACACCAAAAGTGAATCTTACCATAAACTGTGGACTCTGGGTGATCAGGACATGTTATGTAGGTTCATCAGTTGTAACAGATGCAGCCCCTGCTGTGGGATGTTGGTGATGGAGGGGCTATGCGTGTGGGGTCGGCAATACTGGGAGCGCCCTGCACGCATGCTCAGTTTTGCCGTGAGCCTGAAACTGCTCTAAGGACAATAAAGTCTCCTTGAAAACACACTGGCGCTCAGGTGAGGGAGGAAATGGGTGGCAATAGGAGTGAAGCGAGAGCGACCAGGGGTGTCAATGGTTGAATTTGGCTAACTGGTCGCAGTGCTCATTATACAGTTTCCTCAATTTCTGTATCAGAATATGAGCATGTTCTCCGAGTGTTTAGAAGAGTATTTTGGAGAAGTCTATTTGTTTTCATGTCAGTGAAGGATCACCGAGTTTAATGAATAAAAAGGCATGTTTTTCCTGAAACAACAGAAATCAAAATAGCACCAAAGGTCAAGAGCAATTACAGGGTTTCTTCTCTAGCCATTCTTAAAGGAAGGAGAAAGGAATGTGAAAGAGGAAAATTTTTTTTTTATTAGAATAGAAAGTAAAAAGAAACTGCTTGTAAGGTTTTCTAGAGTCGCCAGTTGCAATGCCATGTGTATGCACAGTAGAAAGCACCTCGAAGGGTGGGGCTTTGCGCGGCTCTTCCTGTGCCCCCGAGGGGCCGCCTTCTCAGTGCGAAGCAAAGGATGCACCGCACTGTCCCAGCTTACATTTAACTATTGCCGGTTGATGAGAAATTAATATTAAAATTGCCAAACTTAAAACAACACCTTTCCCCCCATATTATTAGCATCTTTCAGATACTAAAAGTTAAAGTGAAATGAAGATAAACAAGATTAAACTTCCTTTTCTTTAGTAAAAATAAAAATAGATTTATATTATATCTTCCTACTTTGTCAAAAAGATGCATTTGGTTTCTTTTCTTTTTTTTTTTTTTTTACATCCTCACTTAAAGATATTTTTCCATTTATCTTCAGATAGAGTGGGAGGTGTGTGGGGGGAGAGAGAGAGAGAGAGAGAGAGAGAGAGAGAGAAACATTGATGTGAGAGAGACACATCAATCAGTTGCCCGACCAGGGACGGGGACCAAACTGCAACAAAGGTGCGTGCCTTTGACCGGAATCGAACCCAAGACTCTTTGATCCGCAGGCTGATGCTCTAAAAGCCAAACAGGCTAGGGCTCATTTGGTTTCTTAAATATGCATTTATTACCCATTAAGTAGAATTATATTTCACTTTTATTCGCTGTCTTGATTAACTTGACAAATCACCCAAATTAATTTTCTCTGTGCTCTGGGAATTTGTTTTCAATCCTCCCAAAACAATACAAAAGTTGTGTGACATTGTCATTGATGAAAACAGAAGGAAGTCAAGGGTGGTGCTGGACGTCAGCCTCTCCAACTAAACCTCAAAACTATTAGAAACCACCTGATCTGATACCTCTGCTACTATTTCAATAACAGTAACAACTGTTCCTGGCTTATTTTCATCACTTCGACAAGAGATTACATTTCATGTAACATTTGTAAAATCAGATATGAGGAAGCTTTCATAGACAGGAGGAAGGGACGCGCTACGGCTAATCCCATTATCCCCAATGAATGCTCACATTTCCTACTTCAGAAAAGAATGAGAGATTCTACCTGCCATTTTCTCTCTAGCCTACTGCTTATGCTGGTAAGGAACAGCCCCAAAGAGAGCCAAGGAAGATGGAATGCACTTATTTCTCTTTTTGTCTCCTGAGTTTTCAGGTGAAGGCCCTCACTGCCCACACCTACATCGGGAGAGAACCCAGAATGCCGTCCTCCCTTTCGTCTTCGACAGTAAACTATGAGGAACAGTCAATGAGTGGTTACTGTGATTAGCTGACTAACATTCTGTGGGTTAAACGAATATTTTCCAGATTTGTCAGTTCTCTGAGTATGAACAGTGACCACAAAGCCATTTAACAGTGAACTGATTTTATAAGCAGATTGAAACTGTCCTGAAATGGAAAATTCTCATAACACATTTAGAGAGACTGAAACTGCTTTCCACCCTCAGATGGAATGAATCCACAAAAATATTCCTCCTAGTGAAAACGTGTGCAAACAACACTGTGTGTGTGTGTGTGTGTTTCCGCTTCTGAAACAATACAGTTCACCATTACCTCTTACCTCTGATTTCTCTGGGTGGCTCCAACTTCCGTAGACTGGATTAGCAAATGCACAATTAACACTTCCTTTGGTTTTCCTTAGAGCACACAGGACCACAAAAATAAAAAATAAAAAAGAATAAGTATTGAAATGTATGTTTTTAGGTTATTATCTGCTAGGCATCTGTGAGAGACATATTGTCTAACCAGTGTACTTATGTTTATGAACGTATTTTCACCAGTAAAGTTCTTTTGTGCCTGACACTAAAGCAACCACATTCTTGAGAGCACATGTTATTTGACCTCTAAATATTTAGATTTAAATAAACCCACACAAAGACAAAAATGGTGTAAGTTGGTCTTAAAAATGATGTCTTAACATGTTCCTCAAATAATATAAGGGGTGCAACATTACAAAGAACAATGTAAGGCTGCACTAGTTATAAGGAAAGGTCACCCTGATGTCCCTGAGACTTTGAAAGTGCCAAGCCCTCACCTCCTGAGGCCCTTTTTCCATGACAGTATCTGTCTTAAAGATTTATGGCATCACGGTCTTTAACATTTCAAACAGAAATTTAAATATGAGTGTTTTGAAGAGTTCTTGATGTTAATGTCTCCTTTGATGAATCACGAAGAGACCTGTCCTAGGTGAGCTCACATATTGGTCTAAATCCACATAATTCACTCAAACATACTGGGCTCCTAAATGATCATTCTCTTTTTATACTTCAATTACTTAAGAGTCAGTAGACTTATCATAAGACAACTAGCTCTGGAATAGTTGCTCCCACTGGTAAAGAAAAAATGTCCATTACAGTAACAAAAACAAATATCGCCAGATAAACAAATATATCCTATTAAAGACAGAAGAAGGATCACATACGTGGACACACATACACATAATGGAGAATGGAAGACCAATTCCAGAATGATTACCAGGGTCTGGCGGACAACCGAAGGAAAATATATTCGTGAATACTTTTGCCTAATTACTGTGTCATGATGGTGCGTTTTTCAATAATATACCTTCAAATCCTAAAAGAAAACGTAGTAAAGAGGAAGCTTTTGATGATTTGCTTTTTGAAAATAAATTGTCACAGGCATGACCTCTTATTTCAGCCAGCAGACCAACCATACGGTCCTCCTCTTAAAAGAGTAGCCCCACCACATCATCTGGCTAATTGTGTTTGGCTACATTCTCCCTGTGGATTCAGCATCTTCTCAGCTTCCTGACCTCCACGGTGTCTGTGCAATTGGCTTAAATATGCAGAAGCCTCAACAGTTCACCCTCACTGAGTCTACATTTTGGTTATTGATGAAGGGGGTAATAGCAGCCTTTTTGTGAGTTTTATTTTGGAAAAAAAAATCATTGAACACTCTTCAGTGTTGAGGGAACAAGTATCATTAATTGAATACTTATGAGTTGAGTTGCTCCAATTAAATCAAACAAGTGGTGCTTGATTTCTTGCCTTTTCTTCCTCCAAGTCTAATCGATGTTAAATTCTCAGACCAGTAAGCTCAGTAAACGGTATAGGTAGAGCATGAGCAGGGCTGCTCTCAACGTTGAGACTTGGGGGGAAATGGAGAGCAGCTTTGAAACGTGTCAAAATGTCACCCTGGCTGGTGTGGCTCAGAAGTAAGAGTGTCGGCCGTGGACCAAAGAGTCCTGGGTTCGATTCCAGCCAAGAGCACATACCTCAGTTGCAGTTCGTCCCCGGTCCTGTTTGGGGTTGTGTGGGAGGCAACCAGTCAGTGTATCTCTCTCACATTGATGTTTTGATGTTTCTCTCTCTCTCTTCCTCTCTCTCTTCTCTCTCTCTCTCTCTCTCTCTCTCTCTCTCTCTCTCTCTCTCTCCAGATCTCCAGCTCTATCTGATGATCAATGTAAAAATATCCTTGGGCGAGGGTTATTAAAAAAACAACAACAAAGAAGTGTGTCAAAATATCAAAAAAAAAGTCGGTACAGGAGAGATTGACATGGAGGTGGGGAGAATCAAAACAGAATGAAAGTTAGGGAGCAGGCAAAGAGGGGACAGCCACAGATACCCACAGCTCAGAAAAATTAATCTCGGCTGAAATCAGGCATGAAAGCAGGAAGCAGGAGGAAACCCAAACCATAGGACGAGAGAGGACAGACGGTCCAAAGGCTGGGCAGGCGACCAGGACCTGGGGGGCAGGCTTGACAGCCAACCGCATAGAAGTGAGGTACCAGCAACACAGAAGATCTTGACATGAGGCGATTATTTTTGGCTTTGGACCGCTGGGACCACAGATGACCTAGACCAGGACTGGCAGGCAGCAGGCAGGTAAACTGATCGGTTTCCCAGCCCTGTTAATTCAGCTATTCATCTACTGTCTTCTGAAATAATTTTAAGTCTTAAGCAATTTTTTTTATTAAAATGAAAAAAGAAATCTAGGTGGCTGTCCTTTAGGGTATCCGGTGACTACAAAGAAAGAAAGGTGCTACTTCAGGGAAAGGATGTGAAATTGTAATAAAGAGGAAAGGGTCACAGTATGAACAGTGGAAGGTGAGCCATGATTAATCCTTCCCACTTCAAGTTATCTTTCTTAGCAATCTCAAACTTTTATTTTTTCCAGATCAAAAGATATCTCCCACCATTGGAAACCTCTGAATGATTAGGATTAATTCTTAATGCTTTTCCTATTTATGAGGTATTAAGTGAATTTCTAATGTTAACTCTATACATTCACGATTTCAAGTTCTGTGATATAATTTTCTATCTTTATCCACGTTATAAGTTTGATTTCCAAACATAAACAATATTACTTAAAATGATGAGTCCTTATATGAAGAAAACAAAATGTGTGTTAATTACGAAGAGTTCTGATAGTTTGGACACCGTATGGTACGATGCGAAACCTGCGTTGGGGTTAAAAACGCCGCGTTTACCTTGCCTCGCCTGTGGACAGGCTGATGGGTCAGAGGGTTCCGAAAGAGCTGAGCCTCAAAGAATCTAACCACCTCCAGGAACAGCAAGGAATTGACTAAGGCGTTCGGAGTAGGGGGGAAAACCCTGCATGGATCACATCGGTTTTCCACCCATAACTTATCCATCCACTTCGATTATTACTAAACTCCTGCTCCATCCAATCTGTGCAGACACTGTATAAAGTGGTATTCTGAGCGGATTATAGAGAATGTCAGCGCAGAACTAGGGTAATTCTGATGAGAATTCCCGGTTTAAATTTAGTAAGCATGTGTATACTTCTCAAAGAATTCACATCACGGCGTATTAACCAAAAATGTTTGGTGTTAATGAAAAACATGGAAGGGTTTATAACAGATATCTTAAATTATTGTAAATGGACAATAAGGGAAAACAGAAAGAATAAAACAAAAACTCATCTATGTTGAATACAGTAAACACGACTTTGAGGTAAACGTTTATTTTACTTTATATATATATAGGGGTTGGCAAAGTAGGTTTACAGTTGTGAGCAGGTGAAACACAGTTTTTAACCTTTTATTATTATTACTATTACTTATTTTATTATTTTCTATATGAACAACTGTAAACCTACTTTTGTCCAGCCTTGTATTTTAATAGCCTTATTGAATTATAATTCACACACCATGCAATTCACTCAAAGAATGTAATTCAATATTTAAAGGTAATATTGATATTAACTTAATTCATTATTAATTAAATTTACTGCGGTAACATAACACAAATTTATCTACTCTAGATACTTCCTATGAGTGAAATCATACAATATCTCTCATTTTGTGTCTGGCTTATTTCACTTAGCATAATGCATTTTTTTTTGTTTGTCGCTTAATCCTCACCTAAGGATCTTTTTCCATTGATTCTCTTTTTTTTTTTATCCTCACTTGAGGACATTTTCCCATTTTTTTGCTCAGATAGAGTGGGAGGGAGAGAAAGGAAGAGGGAGAGAGAGAAACATCGACGTGAAAGGGACACATCGAGTGGCTGCCACCCGCACGACCAACCAGGGCCGGGGACAAACTGCAACCGAGGTTCGAGCCCTTAGCGGGAACTGAACCTGGGTCTATTTGGACCACAGCCAACACTTTAGCCGCTAAGCCAAACTGGTCAGGGCCCGTTGATTCTTTAAGATAGAGTGAAAGGGAGGGAGGGAAGGAGGGAGGGAGGGAGGGAGAGAGAGAGAGAGAGAGAGAGAGAGAGAGAGAGAGAGATGAGAGACATATTGATTGGTTGCCTTTCGAATGACCCCACTGCCAGGGATCGAACCTGCAACCCAGGTGTATGCCCTTGATCAGGGATTGAACCTGTGATCCTTCTGTACATGGGCCTGCCTCTAACTACTGAGCAAACTGTCCAGGGCTTAACATAACATAAATTTGTTTTTTAAATCCTCGCCAGAAGATATTTTTTCCATTGGTTTTCGGAGAGAGTGGGAGGGTTAAAGGGAGGGAGAGAGAGAAACACCCATGTGAGAGAGACACATCGATTGGATGCCTCCCGCACAACCCCATCCAGGGCCGGGAACTGAACCGCAACCGGAGTACGTGCTCTTGACCATAATTGAACCCTTGACTCTTTGGTCTGCAGGCTGTTCTTCCAACCACTGAGCCAACGTGGGTAGGGCAAGTATAATGCTTTAAAGTTCATCTATATGGTAGCATGTACAAAAGCTTCAATCATTTGTATTGCTGAATAATATTTCATTATACTCATATATTACAATTTGTTTATTCATTCATCTGATGATGGACATTTGAGCTGTTTCCACCTTTTAGCTATTGTGAATAATCTGCTATGAACATTGTCATATAATTATCTGAGTCTTCATTTCAATTCTTTTGCATGTACAATTAGGAGTAGAAGGAAGAATCAGTTTTCCATAGCAACTGCATCATTTTACATTTCCACCAATATTTTATAAGGTTTTCTATTTCTCTACCTTCCCAGAAACACTTGTTATTTTTTTTTGCTGTTATTATTATTGATATTCTAATAGGTGTGAAGTGGTATTGAATTGTAGTTTAGATTTGCATTTTCCCTAATGACTATTGACGTTAGTATTGGCCATTGTGTCTCTTCTTTGAAGAACCATCTATTCGTGTCTGCTTTTTTTTTTTTAATTGGATTGT